ATTTGAATTCCAATTGCTTCGTCAGTACCATTATGTGAAAGGGCCCTGAAACGGGTCTAGTTTCATGGCCCGTCCACTACACAAGTTTCGGTAAGCAGGTTTTGTCCTAACACTGTTTCGGGAGAGCACAATATTGGTTAGTGCTCAAAACAATTTGCGGAATATACCGAGCCACCTTTGTCAGTTTTTTGTTCACTACACGAAATACAATTTACAGGATACAGACACGTATATGAACAGTGGTTATTCATTTATTCTCCAAAGCTCGAGAACCGAGAACAATGTGCTCGTTCGCGGTGGAAAAAAATACAAAATATTACGAATGAATGAATAAAAAATACCGTTCAATGTGTCTATGTCGGCCGAAACAAGATTATGGTGGTTTTGACGAATGATGCCCTCGGGTTTCACCTGCATCGCAGTTCCGACGTGTAGTTTTTTTACCTTTTTTACGTTTTTTATCATAATTGGAAACACTGGCTGGTATTGATTTACATTGAAATGTTTGGTGTTGGAATGGATTGGAGAGAATTTTAGAAAAAATATTTTTTGGTTTATCAAGCTCGAATGGTTTCAGAGGATTGGCATGTAGGACTTTCATATTTTTAACATGATTTTCATTTTCGTGATAGACGAAGATGGAAGTAAAAAAGAAATCTGTTTGCCCATGTAATTTGGCCACGAAACAACAAAAACATTTAAAGGCTACTCTTCTGCTAGCAAATGTTAGTGTTTTGAGCATTAGCATTTAAGTTACAGAAGCTCTATAATATAGATTTAATGAAAAATACAAGGAAGACCAGCGGAAAACTCCACAGAGGCGTGTTTTCTTACAAGCAATACATTTCAACAATGGATAACTTTTCTGAATCTAAAACACGATATTAAATTAGGGAACTCAAGAGGCGTGCCAAAGAAAAACACTTTCGTTTGCAAGTCGAAGAATAAATGGGTCAACGCTTAAAATGGCGGACGATTCCCAAATTGCATATAAATCAAGGAGAATAAACTCGACGGAGGCTGACGTTTTTATTGTTGCGCTTATAAAGCTATGGCTTTGGATATAGTTTTTGAGTTTCATGTTGACAGTGAAATCGTACTATCAAATTAATAAAGTTTTAAATAATCACTTTATTTTGAAGTGCTGTCGCACTTTACATTTTCCACTCAAGATATATGGGAACACAGTCTTAAAGACAGATACACTCCCTTCTAAGACATTGCGAATGCTCGAAATCTTATTTCTGATTTGAAAAATCACATTATATCAAACCTTTAATGAGCGTAAGGAAATATAACAAAGTCTTTAAAACTGTCCCAGTCAGAAATCGGAACCCAAAACCACCACCGGGATGAGAGAATCTCATTCTCTTAGCACTTGGCCTCGGAGGTTTCAAGTCAGTCATTACGTGATTGTATTGTATTCCTATATTTCTAAGAAATATCTCTAGGGGTTCAGCCTCAAGAATTTGTGCCCATAAGATATCTGAAACTGGCAAACAAAACCGTTTTCCCGAGTAAACCAACCTCAAATAAGCAAATAACCCATTTTCTCCATTGAAATGTGCCATTCAGTCGAACAACCTAATCATTAAGTATTCTAGAGAAATCACTCTGAATAGGCAATGTGTGTCGCGGGTTTGATTCAACCTAAAATCGCGGAGTCGGAAAATGCCGCTGGCTTGAATACATAAACTAGCTATTTCCCGTGGCTTTGCCTGTGTGAATTTTAGTTTGTCATAAAGCGGCTTATTTGGAACTTGTGGTTGTTATTTGGCCAATTAAATAGCAATATAAATTAGTAGGATAGTAATAATAAGGTTGCGGAAGGCATCTGGATGCGGTCAGCGCAGGACCGGTCATTGCGAATATCCTTGGTGAAGGCCTTTATCCTGCAGTGGACATCATTAGGTTGAAATGAATGAACGAATCATATCCAGGAATGGAACCACCATTCCATATAGAAACAGTGTATTTTTTGGACTACTGAGGATTAGGTATACACGACAGCACATCAAGCTACACTTTTTTGTTGCATACTCGCCCCTATTACAACTGCACAAGAACCCGCATTGGTTACGTTGACGTGCCGTCGTCCGTACTATTCAAATAAATCCCAACTATCCCAACTAATATTATAAATGCGAAAGTAACTCTGTCTGTCTGTCTGTCTGTCTGTCTGTTACGCTTTCCCGCTTAAACCTCGCAACCGATTTTGATGAAATTTGGCATAGAGATAGTTTGAGTCCCGGGAAAGAACATAGGATAGTTTTTATCCCGGTTTTTGAAACAGGGACGCGCGCGATAAAGTTTTTCTGTGACAGACAAAATTCCACGCGGGCGAAGCCGCGGGCGGAAAGCTAGTTATATTTAAACTCCTACTGTTTTTTATCATAACACTTTTATCCCTAAACATTACCATAATATTTTCACCAATACCATAGAATATTAATAAATACTACGTACAGAAGTACGTTCTTCGCGAATGAAACGTAAGGCCACAGTTCTAACCTAACCTAAACCAATAATAATGAATAGGACCGATTCTTTCTGGAACTTGACTGAATGACTGGAGCGGGACTTTGGCTTCGCTCGCTCGACTCGTGCGTTGTGGTCACAGTTCTAACCTAACCTAAACCAATAATTATGAATAGCACCGATTCGTTTCTGGAACTTGACTGAATGACTGGAGCGGGACTCTGGCTTCGCTCGCTGGGCTCGTGCGTTGTGGTCACAGTTCTAACCTAACCTAAACCAATAATTATGAATAGGACCGATTCGTTTCTGTAACTTTAATATATCGTCAAAGAAAGAAATCTAAACAAAAAAGATATGACTTTGAATAATAGTGTAAAATATGGTTATGTTGAGAAAATCTAGGAGAACAAATAAAAGTATAATAGATGTTTATTGCTAATGACATTATGAAGTTGAATGATTCGGAATTATGAACATTAGAGACAGAGTAGTTATGAATTGTGATTGTTAGGATGAAAAATTTTAGGAAGAACATTTTCGGACTTCCAATTTTCGGAGTTGAAAATTTAGGTGAACTTTGGCGCACCCTAAAATAATACTTGGATGATCAAATAATAATTTTTACTATGGGGCTCTACACGCAAAGCTTCTCACAGATGCATGGTGCTAGCGGACTCATAAATATTTGTTTTTTGTGATAGAATAGTTTAGTTTTTAGTCAACCATCAAGCAGCATGTATTCAAACTGGAGGCTTATGGAACTCACAGTACCTGATTGAAACTACTTGATGCCCTTAGCAATCTACACCTGTGTGCCTTACAACTTTGAAATTTATCAGGTCAAGTACCCATGCATAAAAATGAATATCTTTTTTTTTCTTTGTCCTGTATGCACTCCAAAACCATCCGATGGTGAGTATTTGTACACACGCCCACAAATCTTTGTCAAAGTCAAGTCAAAATCAAAATTCCTTTATTATTCCTTTTTGCATGGACTATTAAAACTAGTGCTTATAAATCGTAAAGTTAGACCAAGGTGAAGTTGTGTTCAACAACAAAATATATTTCCGACTAAAAATTGTGCATTCGCGAAGTAATGATTTTTTGCTTTTACATTGACAAATACATACGAATAGACTTTTCCCTCTATTTACTGTATAAAGTTGACTTAAACTTATATCTTAGCGCAAAGAAAGATAAGCATAGTTTTTATTGAAAACTATACTCAACATCAAATAAATCGCACCTTCTGCGACTTTAACGATTTTCTTCTGACACAATCATGGTGCCCCAAGAATATTGGTGTTATTTGAAAGCCCAATAAATATCCTAAAAGAAAAACACATTTCATTTCTTAATAAATGATTAACATATACCATAAATGTGACTTGAAAAAATACCTTACTTTGGGCCCACCTATGGGATCAATTAGACCAATTTTTATGGTTATAAAACCAAATAATGATCTCACGTGTCCATTAATTATCTCACGTCTCGATTAATCCCAACTTAAGAGCGTTTACGTCTAGCGTGGCATGTCAAGTTTAGGTAATTTCGATGCTAGTTTTATTCACACTAAAATAATTATGACTGTGTGCGTGTTCTCACGCTCTATAGTCAAATCAAAATACTTTGATCCACCATCGTTAAAGTGTGCCAGNGAACGATTCGTGCCCGGCGATTTATAGTAGTTTTCAAATACTCATAGAAAAAAAATTACAATGAATTATTTTAAATTTCAAAGTAAATATTTTAGATAAGATATTCTTCTATTAAATTAAGCTATTTTTGTGTTGAATAAAGGAAGAATATTGGTGAAAAAATCAATTTGATTTTTGGGTATTTCACGTTCTTTTTATTTGTGATTTCTTATTGTAAAATGCTTAAATCTAAAAATTTTCTCAGATAACTATTTGCCCAAGGATCTATGCTATAGGATATGAATGTTTGTTAAATCGTTTTCACAGTATTTTTATAAAAATTTCAGCTTGTAAACTGACGCTAAAGTGGAAATTTTCAAAACCTGTGTGGACTTATCTTGATAGAATTCTTAAATGCTAAACTAATCGCAATATTTTTTCAATCAACTATTTAGACGATGAAATTGCCTAACTATTTATGCCTATAACATATTTGTAGTATTACTGGTTAATGATTGTAACGAGTTGAAAAAGTACTGTTTTTGCGCCAAACGGCGTAAACGCTCTTAACAGTTTTATAGCCATAAAAGTTGGCTCAAGCGTAACTACCTATTTTTTGAAGAAGTGACTCTGGATCCTTCTAAAGACACATTTTTGGGGTAAAAACCTTTCCTTTAATGGAATGAAGGTTAGAACTAGGCTTTTAAATGGTGCCAATATTGGTGGGAAGTGGGGATGCATACGTTTGAAAATGCTTGTCGCGGGAGGTGCGATTTATTTGATGTCGAGTGAAGCTCCTATTACAACAACATTAGACGCTTACAGACAGAATGAATATAACGGCAGACATTTTAACAAAGATTGTGACCACCGCTATTTCAGGTCTCACAGCAGCGGCCGGTATCGGCGTGGATGATCTCCGGCGGCTGTGCATAGTGCGGCTGTCCTTCGTCAAGGGCTGGGGGCCCGACTACCCGCGCACGTCCATCAAGGAGACGCCCTGCTGGGTGGAAGTGCACCTGCACAGGTCAGTGACACCAGCAGCAGGTCTGACGCACAGCAGCGGCGGGTATCGGCGCTGTGCATAGTGCGGCTGTCCTTCGTCAAGGGCTGGGGGCCATCCATCAAGGAGACGCCCTGCTGGGTGGAAGTGCACCTCCACAGGTCAGTGACACCAGCAGCAGGTGTAACGCACAGCAGCGGCGGGTATCGGCGCTGTGCGTAGTGCGGCTGTCCTTCGTCAAGGGCTGGGGGCCCGACTACCCGCGCACGTCCATCAAGGAGACGCCCTGCTGGGTGGAAGTGCACCTGCACAGGTCAGTGACACCAGCAGCAGGTCTGACGCACAGTAGCGGCGGGTGTCGGCGCTGTGCATAGTGCGGCTGTCCTTCGTCAAGGGCTAGGGGCCCGACTACCCGCGCACTTCCATCAAGGAGACGCCCTGCTGGGTGGAAGTGCACCTCCACAGGTCAGTGACCACAGCAGGTCTCACAGCAGCGGCGTAAACGACCTGCGAATAACCATAATCGATCGATCGTAGTTTCGAATGGACGTCCACTGCTGGACAAAGATCTCCCCCAAGGATTCCCACAAAAACCGGTCCTGCGCCGCCCGCATCCGGGCACCTCCCGTGACCTTCATCAGATCGTCGTTCCACCTAGTTGGGAGCCTGCCTACATTACGTCTTTCGGCTCGTAGTCGCCAATCGAGAACTTTTCTGCCCCAGCGGCCATCAGCTATGTGCCACGCCTACTGGCACTTCATTTCAGCGATTCTGCTAATAACCATAATATTAATTCAGAAAAAACATAGTGTTACTTACGATTATCTTTGACCCCTGACTGATATTTACTCTGCTGGTTTTCAGAGCTCTCCAGCTGCTGGATGAGGTGCTCCACACAATGCCAATCGACGGGCCACGCAACAACATCGAGTAGGAGTTGATCGGCTTCTTTTGAGGCCTTGAGCGGACAGACGGAAATGTGCGTTGTTTCACAGTGATTGTGCAAGTGATGTGATTGACAATGATGCGAACAGTGATTAGCAGTGAGATCGGGTTTCAGTGAACAATGTTTTACAGAACAAACGAAGTACAAATCTGTGGGACTTATTTTGTGAACAGATTAGTGTTACTTCGAACGATGTTGTCCGTTACATTTGTTATTTGTTTCTGAAATTAATAGAAACTCGAACTTGCTTGGAAGTGGGAATTTTTAAGGGAGTCTTGTAAATTCAGTCATTATTATATTAGCTTTCCTATTTTCAACATTGATATTATTTTATAAATTGATATTATTTATTTAAAATATCTGAAACATGTTGAAAATATAGTAGATTTCTTCATTGATTCTTTATAAATTTTTGAGGATGATTTAAAAAATCCCCTTTTTCAAAAATGTGCCTAAACGGTTGCCATATGAGTAGCATTTATTAAATTATGTTTTATCAAGTTATTATTTACATTCAAAATTATGAATTGGCTTTGTCTTCCAAAATTTTATTTCGTCTTCCTTTATAAAATTGTATTGTGATTTCTCAGTTGAGTTTTGGATTGTGTGTGTTGGATTGGACATTGAAACAAAACGCACATTGAAAATAATGATGTGATCGCTCGTTTAAAAAAGGTGAACTTTAATTTATGTCTTGTATATTTGTTCTAAGTAGATTCACTAAGTTAAATATAACATATTATATGACAGTATTTCGACAGAACAAACTAAAGAACATATAAAGAGATCTCACTATAATATTTTTCACAAAATGTTTAATGTGTAAGATATAGTGTATTGTAAATAGGAGCACACGATTGCAGATTGCTCAAAGGTCAGTCCATCGTTGTTCTTAGTAATGTTAAGGTGCATGCTCACTGATTGCACTCGTGTGTAATAAGCGTTCGACATTTTATATTCATACTAGCGGCCCGCCTCGGCTTCGCACGGTTGGAATGGATTTTCCCGGCTTTTCTCTTCTTTATTATACATGTTTTATACTTATAAACCTTAATCTTGAGTCACTCTATCTATTAAAATCATCAATATCCGTTGCGTAGTTCTAAAGATCTAACAGACAGACGGCGGAAAGCGACTTATGTATGTAGTGATTATTATTGTAAGCCGAGCATATTTGCCTGTGAGTGCGCACTGTAATAAAGTCAATTGCTCACGAATGCGTTTTAGGCTCGCTTTTTGAGTTAAATGTTGATTGCTTACAAATGAGTGCGCGCAGTGATCGCGCAGCATACGAATTTTAGTGACAGCGATACCAAAATAAGGCATTTTGTACTAAAGTAGTTTAAAAAACAAGACATAATTATGGTTCAACTTGAAAGAAGCCAAATGGATAAGCTTTGTAGCTTAATTAATTAGCGTTACGTCGTAATGTAGCGTAAGTAATTTATGTGTTGTGAGCGGCGGGCGCGCGGGGGTGAGGCTGTAAGTTTGTTAGCTTGATGTGCCTGATTGGTGAAATTGCATGGATTCATAAGTCTCTTAACCAACAGTCATTAATTTTGGACCTTAAGATAAGGAAATAAGGTCCAAAATATGGTGGAAACTATATTCCCACTTAAAGGGTTAAATTGTATATTAAAATTGATACTGAATGAGTGGGACAGCCCCCTGAACTGATGAATTGACGTCCAATAGTTGACAGGCAGCTTTATGTAGAACAGTAGTTTTTTTATTGATCACAAAACTAATTAATCTGGAAACGGGATGAATTGCAACTAAGTCAATGGTCATAATGTTGCAATGTCAAATAAATGACTAAAGTGTAAAGTCCATGCAATTTGCTAAATTGTTTAAGATGATCTGTGATGTGCTAACAAAATATGTTTATAAAATAAGATGAGCGCGCCCGCATTCAGTCCAGGCCATTCACCCACGGGTGGGCTCTGGAAACGTCTAGGTTAAGGATAAAATGACATATTTTGTGTACGAAAATCGTAAACGGTTTTAATGTAATTCTTACGTAGTTCTAAGATAGTGTTTGTGGATTTATGAATTGGAATTTCCCAACAACTTTTACATTGCTTACGTTTGTTTAAAGTAAAGATGTAAGTGTGTGATACTTAAAGTTGCAAGAGAAATTCGTGTTCTACGTAATTGAGATTTTTTTGTAGTTCGCTAAGTTTTGCTTTAATTATTATTACTTGGCAGATTATGATACTATTATCTTGCGTTAAAACATTTTATATTACTGTTAGTGAAAGTTAGCGTTTTCGATTTTTTATTATTAATTATTTTTATTGTAAAATACGTAACAACTATTGTCTATGACAAAAAATGTGAACTAATCGGTTTCGAGCGAGAGGGTTTATAAATGTGTGTATTATTATTGTTTTTGTAAACTTGATTTATTTCGATTTTATCTGTGTGAGTTTTGCGTTGTGGACGAACGAACATCACATGTTTTTATTTTTGTTATCGATATGTAATTTAGTTTATGCATCTGAATTTTACAATTTACAATTATTTGATTGTTACCAATGACCATTAAACATTCGGACTGTGCGAGTTTTGTAAATAGTACAATTTATTGAGAATATTTTTTAATATAACAAAAATCTTGTCGGTCGGTCGCCGGCTTATTTAATACAGGCGTTCGCGACTCGGTACTTAGAAATTATATTCGTAAATTCTCTTTAGTAAGCTTTCACAAAATTTGTGTATCAAAAATACCTCTTTTATAGTGATCAAAAGGATTCAAAGGGTTTTTAGATGATATTAATAATATGTGGTAAGTTTTTTAATGATGTTGAAGTTTTGAATGATATTGTCAAATTCTACATGCCACAGTTATCCTACAGAGCTGTTTGGAATCTCTCACGAGTTTATGGTAACCATGTCTTACAGTTGTTTGGAGATATACCGAAGTTATCCAAAGTTGATGTGGGTTGTTGTTCATGTGAACGTGTTGTCGCTTTTGTACATACGGGCTGTCGCGGCAGTGCGACAGAGATAGCTGAATCTGACTGGGTGTGGGTGACTAGTGGCTACGTTTATACAACAAAAGTGAAAAGAGAAACAGTTGGCAGATTTTCTTCACAAAGTTTTGGAAAATGTACCTAATAAATGCATACTCATTTTTATTGTCTAAACGTAGCTTTTATTCTTCTAGCAAACGCAGTTTGGCCATCAAAATGTTAATTACATGATGCATTATTATAAAAATAATGTTGCACCCATTATGAGAATGTACTGTACCTTTTAATAAATACATAACTCACATTTAGTTAATTTTAGAATTTGTTCAGATTGTCGTTTTATAAATAGTTGTTAGTACCCGAGAGTCAATGTTACGAATTATTGTGAACATCTCTAACGAAGTGCAAATTATACAAATTACAGACTATTACAAATATGCAAGCTATGGTTCAAAACATGTTCCTCATATTAACTGCACGAATAAAAGAATCTATTCAATGGAATTGCAAAAAAAAATGTTTGGTATGAGTAATGTTTGTAGACAATGTAGACTGCGGTCATTAAAATGGTCTTGTTATGCAAATTTTACATACGAAAAAATCACGCAAATATACTGTTCTTGTATATTTTTTAATGTAACTAGCGGCCTGCCCCGGATTCGCACGGTTGCAATGGAATTTCCCGGCTATTCTCTTCTATAATATGCATGTTTAATACCTATGAATAAACCTACCTCTTGACTCACTCTATTTAAAAAAAACGTATCAAAATCCGTTGCGTATTTCTAAAGAAGCATACATAGGGACAGACAGCGGAAAGCGACTTTGTTTTATATTATCTCTGTAGGTACATAAAAAATGTAGTTGACGCGTTGTATACGCAATTTTGATTTAAATAATTTGTACCATTTTATGCACCACAGTCTATTTTTGTAATAAGTACATAAACACTTGTATCCGTTTAAAAGTTGTACTTTAGGAGTTGATGTGTTTGTCTGGTTGTTTCAATACAATATTTTCATCATGGGGGCGCCGTGTGCATTTGCCCTAAGATTATAGTTAAGATTGAAAATATGAAACAAATGAATATAAAGGTTATTCCTCTAAAAAGTGGTTTTATTTAAATTCAATGAAGTGTCTTCCTCCAAATGTTTAAAATGTAAATAAATTGCCTATATTCTATTTTTTTTTCAAATTACATCAATTAAATTTTTTAATCATAGTTTTTCAGTAATTTAAATGTAAAAGAATAAGTTACCTACCTTCAAAAATCCAAGCTCTTATTTATTTACACAAGAAATATCTAAGGAAATACCTAAATTATTATTGCAAGAGCTTCCTCGTTTGTCAAACAATCAATGCCAGCTGTAAACAATCAAGTACAAGAATCGCATACTATAAACGTAAAGATCTGATGGAAAATCTCCACCCTTTCTTTCCAGTTTCTGGGGGGACGGCGCGTACGCAGTCCCCACTACCAAAAATTACGCATCCGAGTTACCCGCATTAGGGATAATCGCAGGGGTCAATCTCTCCGCAGTGCAATGGAGAAACCTCGCCCTGGGGGAACCGCCTTCATGATCACGGTGTCCCCTATGCCAGGTAAGTATGCTTTTCCAAAGTTAAGCTGGGGTAGTCTTTTCCGGAAAAAAAATCTGGACACCGCGGTGCAGGATTTAACACTTTATCGTGGAGCGTCATCTTTTGTCGGTTTTAGGAACTACGTACTACAAATATGGCGGACGAATGCAAACTTCACTCTCATGGCCACTATGAGAGGCAAACAGCTGGCGCACCTGCTCGCAGTTAAATGTGTTGTTTTTATATCAACTACAAAAATATAGTTAAATAAAAGACGTGACAGGAAAGTAAAATAAAGAAGCTACAAGAAGAAGCGACTGAATGATGATAACATTTCTTTACAGACGCTATGATCATTTTCTATCGCAGCTTTCGTATCCAGTTTTATAAAATAATTCATTCAATTCAATTTTATTATATTTTAACTGGCAAATGTAGATGATTGGAAATGATAATAATTTAAGGGGTATATTACGCACTCATGAAAGACTGTTTTTTTTTCTTTTTAAAACACCTCGCCATGCGCGACTTAAGTAAGTATTTCATAGCAAGAAACTGATATTATTCGACCCCTAATAAACAGCGTGTTTATCCCAGTATGAGATACACATATTATTTATACATGTATAAGTTACCACTGCTGCTAAATATACCGGCCAGCGATTATTCATAGAGATTTGGTTTATTTAAAGCCTTTGTCCTTCTCACTGCTTTTATGATGGTGACGACATCATTATTATTTTGCTGGTGATAAGCGATGGCGATTTTGGGTTTGGCTAAATCATTTTAAAATATCAAGGAACTTAGCGGAGCTTGTACCTAAGTACAGACTAATTTCAAATTCAAATTCAAATTATTTATTTGCTCAAAAATAGGGTAAATACATAAGTGGTGTTGGTATTTGTTAAAAGTGCATTCCTATTTAGCTAATGTCAGTTAGCATGCAAATTACAAATGATCATAAAAATAATGCCGATTGATTACATAATATTATATTTCAGTCAAAAACTCCAATCCCTTTCAGACCTGAAAAATTTTTTCCACAAAATTTATGTTTTTTCGGATTTTATGTAACATTTGGTCCATAAGGAAGACAAGAAAAATAATATAAAAATTTTCCGACTTTCCAATTTTTCAGAAAAGTACCCGCACTATCGTGCGTGTTAGGACTAAGTGCACTATACGCACGCTCGTGCATAATTAATAAATTAGAGTAAATCCTTAAGAAAAGACTCACTTTTTTGGATATTATTGTTAAAAATTAATAATAATCAGCTTTTACTTGAATAAAACCATTCCAACTCATGACCATTGAAGTGTTATGAGCTCCTGGTGAAACAATTGGAGGTTGTCATAACAAATGTGTTGTATTTCCATTTTAAGAGACCCAAGTCATCAAACACGAATTATTCTGACTCTCCTCTTTTCATCTTATGGTCAGACATGAAATTTACCGTTTTTCGTTGAATAATACCATTCATGATAATGGTGCTAGTTCCATATAAAGGCAATTACTGTCTAATAACATGACGGACGCTGGTGAAATAACTGTCGATGTATATAAATCTGTGTGGAGAAACCGCTTATGTATACATAATTACTAGTGCACCAATACCCTGCACTTGCTCAGCAAAAGCTGTACTTGCATCCAAATAAATACTGAAATCAAGCATCAGTCTTCCAGCTGTTAAAAGCCAAACAGAGCAAGGTTCATTTCTAACAACCTGCATCTGTCAGTAACATATACTCATTATATAACAGTTACTCATCTATTTAGTAACTATTAGACACTCTATCCATTTACTGACAAGCTTGCAAGACTTTGAAGGCTGTACTTTCCACAAAAGGTATGTCCTCTAGAGAAGTAGGATGATCATAGGGAACAAAATTCAATACGCTTTGCAAAGTTGCGAATCCTAACGTCTTCAGAATGTCACCTATGACTACTTATCGTATATTTAGTCATCAGAACAGATACAATTGGGGAAAGAAAAAAATCCATGTATGAAAGCAAACCACACATTTCATCAACGGAGGTATTAACGGCTCGCCCAGTTTTTCTCAAGTAGTAGTTATTGAAGCATTTGGCTCCTAGTCTATAAAATTATGGCCAAGGAAGTTTCCAAAGTACTTCATTGGAGTCTGTACAGTCGAATATATTGATTATCTATCAATATCTTTCATTTATTTTACAGATATGCCCTTTGCCTCCATATCCTAGCCCTTTTCTCTCTTCAATTGGCGTAATACATGGTAAAGTTATTTTTACGGAGGTTTGAGCACTACTGGTACTCCCTGATAGCTCTGCAGGCTCTGATCTAGCCAAATCAATGGATTGCTGGCATAAAATAACTTCATTTCATACTACTTCCTTCTTTTGTTCTAAATGGTGCAGAAGGTACCTTTCGTATGGATTTTTTTTTATGTCTGAGTCATTTTCATCACCTAATAAGCATAAGATAATGTTTTCTGATAATTAAACTGCTGCATTAAAGAGTTAAATTAAAAAATGACTATTATTTTTATTAAATATCCAAAAAAACAATACGCACGAGCGTGCCGTTTTATCCCTTTAAAAATGAATTTAAACCGAACTGCTACGATAGTGCGTATTACATTCAATTTAGTTTTAAGTAAGCAATACTATAAATTATTTTAATGGTTTTTCATTTATTTATTAGAATACAATGTTTACTTTAAAATTAATAACATTTTAACAAAAATACTAGCAAAATACTATTTTTTTGTTTACGTACCTCTCCGGGAGTTCGCGCCGAAAAATTCTGACAACTTTCACAATCGCTATCCGGCGACCAACTGCCTGCAAGAGGGTCCTATGTTTTTTATTAAAAGTATCATAATACGCACGATTGCTGCGTATCGATTTCGTTCCGAAAAACAAAATTTTGCCAAGCAAATTTTTATTTTAAGTCAATGCGCACGCTTATTTAAGCCGGGTCTGAAAGGGATAAAATTCATTAGCATATTTTTTCAGTCAAAAACTCAGTGATCGAATAATAGCACTTGTCAATTAAATATTCCTTAAGCTTTAGTTTAAATATGTTAATGTCATTTATGTCTCGTGTGGATTCCGGTACTTTATTAAAGATACGAGGAGCATTTCCAAATAAACTCTTATTAGTAAAATAAGGTAGTTTTAGCTTCGATGGCGCACAGTTTGTTTTTGTGACGTTCACGGCTCCTGAACTCAAATTTATCAATATTATTTTTTATAATATGCAGTGTGCAGATGGGTTCTTAAAGAAAGTTCATTCGTTTCAGCCAAATGACGTCCACTGCTGGACAAAGGCCTCCCCCAAAGGCTTTCTATAACGGCCGGTCCTGCGCTGCTGCCCACATCCAGGTTCTTCCCGCTTGAAGAAAGTACAGAGATTATTTTTTCTCAGGCGTACAGGATATAATAAATTTTTTCCATTAATGTAATTGGATTTCCACACCTAGTTTCTCTGGTCTAGTTAGTGATCTTCCATTAAATTTTTAAATGGTTGGTGGTAGGGCTTGTTCTAAGTCCATAGCTACCACCATCTTGCCTAAGTCTGTCGCCATAACAAAAATATTTAACAGCATTGTTTTGTTCCGGCAGTTGGAGGTAAGATAAGTAGCTAGTTTCTTTATGGTTCCTCAACAAGAAACTAGCTCCCTCTAGGAATCCTCATTCCGTCCGGGTGAAGCTTGCTTCCACCTTCAGCCTGATCATTTCCATCAGGTGAGATGCAGGCCAAGAGCTTCCTTATTGTAAATAAAAAAACTAGGTTTTCTCATCTATTTTCAAGTCTAGTTGTTTTATCGTCCATCGCTTGGGCCGCGCGGGCGTCGGTCACTCCACTATAAATACGCGGCGACTCACTCCCGCGCGCGGCACCATTCCAATGGACAGACGACTTCAGCTGTGCGGTGTAAGAATTTGTTGCAGGAGAACAATCTGGAAATCCATAATCATGTTTAGACACAAGAGATACTTGGAATAAAAACTTATCTTAAACATAAAAAAATATCACAGAAAATCAATGAACGATTAGCGCCCAAGATTTCATAAGACAGAACTCGGTTACAGCATTTTCTTTGATTCCTACACCTTTAGCGGTGATATTATCAAAATGGATTTTGATAAGATTTATTTTCAAATGATAAGCTCGTACCTACTGTGAAGGCTTTTATATGAATGTACCACACGTCATGTGATAGAGCCTGGTCAAGACAAATGAATGAAATGCACTAACACGGAAAAACTATCATCTACAGCTTGAGAAGTTTTACAAACATCAAACATCTTGTGATGTTAAACTAACGTTAATCGTTAACCCATCATATAATATGACTTTTCTACACAATTTGCTCTATGAGCAGACTTCAACAATAGAGAATCGTACGATAAGCAAATATTCCATTCTCTCTGAACTAATAACTAAGGTTTCGTCTATTTTAGCCTCAGCCATGGCCCTCACATTTCAAACATGCTCGCTTTGAGGTATTCCCGGGTCTCCTTCGCTCAGTCTAGGAAATTACACCTTTGAGTGCTCTAGGTCGAGACTGAAACTGAATTACATCTTCGTCTTTGTTAGCCAAATAGATTTTAACATGTTTAGTCTACTGTCACATCCATACTAATACTGTAAATGCGAATTTAACTTTAATTTTGCTGTTACTTCTCACTTCAACAACTGAATTTTAAGCAATTTTGATATTCTATAGATGGGGCCTCAGAGAAGGATATAGGTAGATAGACTCTTTTGTAGAGAATTTTGTAGAGAAATAAAACTCAAAGGGGAAGAAAGAAGGAGAATTAAATTTTGTATCGTAAAAACCATAGTTCACACGGCGCTTTATGTCTTTAATTTTATTAAAAATGCCGTAATGAAATATGATAAAATAATAGCTTTTTTTATCCCCCAAATGTATCATTCAATAAAGATAACCATTATTAAAGTTTTTATGGAACCTTGTGTAAAAACTACGGGTCGATAGTTGGCGGTGACTCATATTTAACAAAAGCTCTGAGATAAAGCTATTTTTGTGTTCGGGGAAACTGGATGGATGGGTTTATACCAGCTAGGTTTCAATTGTTCATTACTTCATTCAAGTTATCTTATCAATGTTGATTTTTTCACCTTTTCTTAGATTTATTTGTTTATTTAGGGATTACCTACACTTTGGCCACATTGAACTTACTAATAATGTTGATAAGAAGTGTAAACGAATTGTTTTGTGAAGAGCTCCCATTAAGCTAAGCTTTGTGTATATTTCACACGAAATTAAAGTATCCTATTAATTTTAATCATATGATTGTAATGATTGTAATGTCAGCAGCGTGGGGGGTTCGAATCTCGCTGTGCTACCTAATAATAACAAATCAGTATGTAGGTATGTGAATATTTTTATCTATTCTGCACAGACTAGAGCGAAATTGAAATTACGAAATAAGTTTTCACCGTTTTAAATTTTTTCATGTTTGGAGAAATTGTTATGATTTTGGATAGTAGGTATTTGGAAGGTAGAGCAAACAGCTTTAGTGGTTTCTGTGCCTGGGGCACTGAGCATAACCCTTGCACAGTGGTTGACGCAATCTGTGCAAAACACACACAGGGCAGAAACCATATTGTGCGGAAGCTCAACAGCATTTGACTTTGAAATAAGGCTTTTGCTCGTGGATTTGGCTGCACTGTGTTGCATTGTGCTGAATTTCTGTGAGATCATTTTCTGTCACTTATGTTTTTTATATCGTTAGCTTCAAAGTACAACCGTCACGATTTTTTATCTATAAAAGTACTTAGTCCTTAGTTATTTCTAGGTAGTGTGTTTACCTATGTGATGCCCAAAATTAATGTTCTTTCTTTCTAAAATTGTCTAGTTGTCTCTTACAAAATTTTGGGTTTGTGGATTGTTGTGGGCAGCCTGTGGTGGGTAGGCAGTCTTTTGTTATAAAAGGACATGTCTCTTGTAACAGTGATTCCAATGAGATACAAGTATTCTAGCTTTTCAAGAGAAGTACAGAGATTCAAATTCAACAAATTCAAATCAAAAACTTGGAAGTTAACACGCAATCGCGGGCAAAACCGCTAAATATTTATAAGTATCCACGGCGGGAACGCGTCGAAATATTGCAGTATTTTTAGTCGAGGCCGGCCCTGTTTACATGTTTTCACTTTACGACCGCCATTTTAACGTTTTCTTAACGTTTTGGAATCAAAAACGAGGTTTTCATATTTCATTGCGGCTTTAATGCGATGATTGAAATATTTTCCGGCATTACTTACTGTCACCTTGATTCGGTCATTTTATATCTATAAATCTTGGTAAAAATGAATATAAAGTAATAACTGTTGCAGGTGCTTCAATAATGCCTAAATCATTTGGTTTTCCCCGGGTTAATCAAGACAGGTTTTTAGTATGACAGGATTATTTTATGATTTCAGCCAAATACCTAGCTATAAAAGTTAAGCAAATATAGACAATGTGCCTACTGTCGACTGACGGTGATTTATGTAAAAGTATTGAGAAAATCACCCTGTATAGTATTTTAAACAAATTAAAAAAGTTAATGTTTGATGCAGGTTTACAGGTTACGTCAGAAATTAAGGTCATGTTTGCAGAGGTTGTTGCGATGTAATGTTTATACATGATTGGCATTGGAGCTGTGAATCACTCACTGGTTCACATCTCGCGCGGGGCAACCGGAGCTTTGGTATTTCCGTCCAGTAAACCATTGGCGATCTCAAATTCTTGATTACATTTGATTAGATGCTAGGGAATGCAAATGTTAGAATTTATTAATGCATGTTTGTAAGCTTAAAGTATGTGAACGAAAATAGGTAAAAATAGGTTCCGTGACGTCACAAAGAAAATGCAGACAGAAAAACAATGACGTCGACAAATTGCATGCAAAAAGCGCAGACGCACTCGAATCTGTATTTAAATCGACAATGAGACTGGCACATGAAATAGACGCATCGATGATTCACTTTTTTATAGTCAAGAAAGTACTCTAGACGTCAAAGAAAGTACTGGCACAATAGACCTGTGACGTCACGCCGTTCCCGCCTCCCTACCATCGGAGCCGGCTCGCAGCGCTGTGCCGACTGCCCGGGCGCTCGGCAGCGCATCCGAACGAACGAAACGCACCATAGAGAACACGCGGCCGTGTTTACGAACGCAACCCACCCCGTATTCGAATTTTGAAATTTGAATTTCAAATTTGGAAATCAGTTTTGTGCAGTGACGATTTGAGTTTGGATTTTGATTGGCGATTGGTGAGTTTAAGTTGTTTTGAGAATTGTTCTTACGTCATTCGATTATGCTGAGTTTTAAAACTTTAATTCGCGAAACTTTGCAAAATCTAATAATTTTATAACGTTAATAATTTAAAATACCAAGTGATTTATTAGGTGTTTCAAAAATGTAGTCTCAACCACATTACGAAGCCGCGAAGTTTATTCTAGTCTAATATTAATAAGCTTAAAATATAAGCTTAAAATACTAAAACATAGCTTTTCTTTGTATTGAAAATGAAATGTTCAGGTACATACATTCAGTAGCTTTCAGTTACCCATATAATGAAAGCTCTTAAAAGTTTTTAATTTCAATTTAAGCCTGTTCAACTTTAGCGTGAATTGTATCATTCTACTTTAGAATACTATGGACACCAAGTAGACAGCGCCTCATAGGTTACAGTTTAGTCTAGACTTATAAAATAGTTAAAATTAAAACAGTAGGTAATCCTAGGAATTTGATATTTTAATATTCTCGGTAGCATCAGGTGCTCAGCACTTTCGGAGGTCAGCTCAGCACTTTCGGAGGTCACTGGTGGAGGTTCGTCCGTTTGTCATGATAATTTCACGGTCAAATTCTGAAATTAGTACAGAATTTTGAAATGTGGCTTGATAGTAAAATATTTATCCTTATATCAATAGTTTTTATCCTGAAGATTAGTGGTGGTACCTGTATGTAGCTCCCCAGTTATAGAGCGATTGACGATTTGGTGTGGGGTAAATCATGTTCCCGTTAGAGAGGTTTTTATTGGTACCTTATAACTTTTTGTGCAGTTCATAGATCACCTGTATGGTAGAGTCCCTGATGTATAGTATTCGACCACCCCATCTCGACCTTATTTTTGTTCTTTCCTTCAAAGTTTTGTAAGTTACCTCACACATATCCAAAAATACCAGTCCAGAGGCTGATTGCATATAAATATAAAGGGTAGGACCAAAACATATTATGTATTTTGGTATATAAATACATAAGATAAATAAATTACATTGCATTCAGTATTACGCACGCGTGCGCAAGCGAGTGAGTAAGCTCGCATCACGGCGCGGATTTAGTGTCGCGTGCGCAGGGCTGCTTCAATATTACGTAGACTGTCATTAGCGTCATCTGTGCCAGTTCATTGCCATGTCTGCAGATTGATCATGGAGATGTGTCAGCGTCTGATGTAGATCATGATTTGTTTTTGTTTTTAACAGCCCGAGGGCTTAGACGACTAAAGGATATTCTAGTCTAGATAATATTACTTAGGGGCCATCCATAAAGTACGTCACACGAATTTTATGATTTTTTGACCCCTCCCCCGTCCTTGTCACAGGTGGTCACATTTCTGAAACCCCCCCCCCCTCCCTAGTGTGACGTCACATGTTTTGCAATTTCACATCGAAAAATTATTAAATTAACAAAAAAATAGCAACAAATAGAAACAATAAAATCACGCGCGAGGTACGGTGCGTTTGGCGGCATTATAGGCCAGTAGAATTAGATTTTAAATCTGAAATAATACCTACAAAAGATTTTATTGATTTAATGGCTTCATTGGTTGCCCATTAAGACTCTCTTAGGTTTTCGACTTCGACGGAGTTGTGCTTAAGTGGTGGGGGTATTTTTTAGATTAATTTATATTTCAAATTACGCGATTAGTACCTCTAGATATATTAGATTTTGAAATGTGATGTCACAAAACTTAGGACCCCTCCCACCCCTTGTCACACCATGTCACACTTTGTCGACCCCCTCCCCCCCTCTTTACGTGTGACGTACTTTATGGATGACCCCTTACTAACAATTAAAACTTTCAAAATAGAGAATTGTTTATCTGCAGTGGAGAATAACTAAAGGACACGATAAACAATAATAACCAACACGAAAAAATCCAATGTTAAAAAAAAGCACCTTACCTAGCACAAGCCATGACTCTCCATGACTGTATAGCGACGCCACCAAGATAGTTTTAATGGGTCCCAGCATTTCATGTTATTGAACTACTTCAAGTTTAACAATAACAAAACCGTGCCAATTACTAGTTTCTAGTTTCCACTTTATACTGCATGTGATAGATGATCAAACGAGCTTCCCAGTAAAGTTTGATCATTAATTTACTACAACTTGATAGTTAAGTTATCTATACTGACTGAGAATAGTTCGTGTGCGAATCACTGCACAGTAAACGTGTTCAAAACAACATTGTTGTTAGTTCACTTAATTGTTTAGGTAGGTATTCATATCATTGCTCTCCTAAAATATTGAAAGTAATAACTACCTACCCTCATGTTAGCTACACAAAATACTTTAACGATTTATAACCACATGCAACGGGGAGGCTCTTGGCCTGCATCTTACCTGATGGAAAGTGATGATCGGGTCGAAAGTTACAATGGGGATGTTGCCTGGGTCAAAAAGCAAGAGTTTTAATTAGTCCGTCAGTTAACTTATCAAAAAATACTCTACACGTATTTTTCACTTTTTCAAACTAATGAAAATTTAAAGAGATAAAGCGCCCCAAAGTTCATAAGAAGAGGCCCGTGACGTCAACGCTTGCTTAAAAATGCCGCACGTTGTGACGTCGTGCGCAACTTCAACGCACCATAACTATGTAATTATTTGTTAGATTGACAAATAAAAATATACGTGTCCAATATTTTTTGATATTAAACATTATGGACTAAAAAAATTTTTTTAGGCAACTAGCCTATTAGGCTAGTAAACTTTGTGACACTTTCGTTGGCTCGTTAGTTTCAGTCAAATGACGCCCACTGCTGGGCAAAGGCATCTTTAAGATTTGGTTTAAAAGGATCTCCACAACGACCGGCCTGGCGCTGCCCATATCCAGGAGTTTCCCGCGACTTTCTAATTGTAATAAACCATACTTAGTAGCAAAAAATACAAGTAGGCATGTTCTGAGGACTGTACTTAAATATTTAGCAAAATCCATTCTTCTTGCCCATACTATGCTTGAAGACAATTTTTTATTTCGGAAAATATTCATAGCTTTTGAGAGAACTTGAAAGCTTCTTGTTATTTATACTATTGTCAAATAATATTATTATAAAACGTTGCAGTTGGCAACGGCGAAAGGTAGACGGTAATTGAAATGTTGAATTCCCTGGAATTTCTTCACCGTCCGGATCTTGCAACAGTTTTTCTGGAAATAAATGTAAAACATCCTCGGGCTTTTGTTCTACTTCGAATTTAAAATAGATTATGCAACGTAAAAGAGATCTTTAGACGTTGAAAAAATTCTACATTTCAACATTTGAATAACTTTATTGTTCTCTATTTTTTTACATTATAAGTGAGCGCGAAACTATTATTGAGTCAAATATTAGTTAATAGGCGAAGCATTTCTCTATTAAAGTCTATAGCATCAGAATCTTATACTCGTAGTCAAATACTTGATGAAACATCTTAGCACAGTGATTAGCTCGATGTATTTTGATATTTTATTTATAGGTAGGTAACTCCTTCTAAATAAGTGGATTTACTTACATTTTTTTCCCATTATATTTCTTTATTTATATGGTGCCTTCTTGCCTATTCACAGCTTTCAAAGCACAAACAATTTTATTGTTTTAGATCACCAAAAAAGTAAACTAAACTAAGCTTTGAAACTACACAATCGCCATGTGGCTGGTTTCAGTGAATTTCAGTGGAAAGTGAATCTGTGTGTGTGCTGAAAATAGGCGAAATAGAAACAAACAAACGTGCATAATATGTACTGTACTCGTATGTATACAGTATTTTACTCTGAGTTTGGGTTCTGTCTCTCAGTCAAATTTCTGTTCCCGGAATTGGTGTACCTATGCTTTTATTATATTGTATGTTTTGAGTTTTATACATAACTAGAGTTGACTACGTACCTACGCGTGAAAATTGTGTGAATAATATTTCCCGTTTTTGTAACATTTTTCTTTACTGCTCCGCCCCTATTGGCTGTAGTGTGATGTTATATGGCCTAAAGTCTTCCTCGATAAATGGGCTATCCAACAAAAGAATATTTTTTTTCAAATCGGACCAGTAGTTCCTAAGAATTTCATTTTTTATTTATCTTTCGAAATTTTCATCTATGCTTGATGGTCTTTACAGCAGCTACGGCTAGGATTTTTTTTAATCTATACTAATATTATAAATGCGAAAGTAACTCTGTTTGTATGTCTGTCTGTCTGTCTCGCTTTCACGCCTCCTAAACCACTGAACCGATTTTGATGAAATTTGACATAGAGATAGTTTGAGTCCCGGGAAAGGACATAGGATAGTTTTTATCCCGGTTTTTGAAACAGGGACGCGCGCGATAAAGTTTTTCTGTGACAGACAAAATTCCACGCGGGCGAACCCGCGGGCGGAAAGCTAGTATTAGAAAAAGCCTCCCCACCCGCCTCGTCATGGGGAGTGTATTCCAAATTCTCCCATCCTCTGGTAATTCCAATTATTCCAAATACTCCATTTACCTCTGGTAAATGGTGTCTCTGGTAAATTGGAGAGGGTCGTACTTCATTGAAGACCAAACGACAGATGATGATGACTCTCAAACACGAATTAATTCGCCTGGAAAATGAACCCGAGTGAAATGGTTCAGAGGTAATATGAGGACAGCAAAAAATCCACTTTCCTTAGCCAGGTGATATCACAGTGGAATAATAAACCTAATAAATGCATAAAATAAACAATTCGCACCAAAATGCCAGGAGCGTGAGTAACGCAGCAAGGCCGCTTGGCAGGTCGCTCATCACTGCACCTTTATTTAATTGTTTACTTTGGCTGAAACGTAGCATTTGTTGTTATATTTTGTGATCAAGGTAGAATTTAATAGCTACTTGGCCTACTTGTTTGAATTAAACAAAGTCTAAAATAGCACGTTAAGTAAGTACGTAAGTTCACAAGAATCGAAACCGATTTGAAATGTTCTTTGGGTTGTAATTCAGGTTCATTGACGCTGAAACTATTTCAATTGATGTTCTAAGGTAAGAGTAAGATACAAACGCAATGTTTATGTAAATGTTTATTTAGCAAAAAGGACACAATGATCAATTATTGTATTATCATGGGATTATTCCCACCTCTCGTTCTCACCGCTGCAACTCCTGTGTAGCCAGGATCTACAGCTTGACCGCCAATAAAAACCCAACCCTATTATTGTGTTCCTCTAAATAAATTGAAATTCATCATACTTTTCACACACATGTCTGTATGTAAAAAGTTTTCTCGTATGTGTTTTGGAGAGCAAACAACCAATCCGCAAGCAGTAGCGTGAAAAAAGTTACTATTAAAAATATAATAACAAAAAAAAATAGAGCGATTAAACTTCTTTCTTGTAATTGTGTTCTTCCATAGCAAATGTCTACGACCCTATCGCAGCAGGTGCATGCTATTCCACGTTTAAATGTTCAAAAGAAAGAATGTGTTATGAAAGTACCAGCATTCCTTGGCTCACCTGCGCACGAGTGGCCAACTCCACGTCCTCGGCTAACAATAGATCAGTTCATTTCGCCACCGCTCTCGCTTCATATTTAATGTGTATTTTAATCAGCCATTAAGTCATAGATGATGAGTGTGATGCAGTTGGAATGATTTGTGTCTGATATTAAAGTCTGTGGGAGATATTTGCTATCATTCATGGTGTAACGTTACTGTGAAATATTGGTATGATGAAGTAGTGGGTCTTACAAGATGTAACTAGTGTGGCTTTCTTACTAGATGTAGTGTGGCGTTCTTTGGTTTTATTTTGCATATTTTGACGGTCAAGGTCTTGGACCATGAAATCTTAATCGCTTGGTCGAGTCATCGGGTCATTTCGACCGGTTAAAGGACTTACAGATTGACCCCTCGCATCTCTAGGTTGGTGGTCGAGTGACCAATTAGATGATTCATCCAGAAAAACAAAATTAGACTTGATTTTAATTTGCTCCTTTTGGACAGTTTGTCATTTTCTAGATTTGATTAGACTCCCATAATTACAACCACGTTAGCTTTGTTACTTTATTTTTACACATTTTTAACATTTGTTTCAAAAACAATGTTGTACCAAGTGACAGACTCCCACCTGTAAGCGGATTGATACCAAAGACAATTTATCACCAACGTCGGAATGGGAAGGCGCAGTTGTCTATGTTTAGAGCTGGCGTCTGGCCCAGCTCTATTCCGAAGAGTGCCAAACCACTATAAGTCTCACATGCCATCTCTGGCATCAATAAACACAACTATTTCTGCATTTGTGACTAATTTTGAATACTGTCCGGACGGTATTTTAGTATTTTTGACACAAGTCGTAACGGACGAATGCACATAAATAAATTCAGTTTTGCTTTTATGGAGCCTTTGCAAGTCTCATACTCTTTTTGCCTTACCAGCGCTACGAAACTAAAGTTTCAGTCTCCATTATCAGCCGGTTGAAAATAGGTGCGATGTTGCAAAAAACAGTACACAATTACACATACTGTATTATGCTGTCTTTTCAAGTCACCTCTTTTCGTAGGAAATACCTTAATACCTAAATATTTTCTGATTCCTGCACCCGAGTGCATCCGGATCCTGATCCCAAATTACCTCCCGTATTTATCACATTTAGATAATATAAATTATGTTCATTTATAAAATACTTTACCTTGTATGTTGGAATACACTGTACCTACTACTGTCTTATTAGTAGGTAGGTATGTAGAGATACTCCAATATTTTATTCTAACCTAAACACATTTATAATGCGTGAAGTATTGGCAATAAAAAACGTTCTGACTTAAATATTTCAAAACAAAGTCTATAAATAAAGCACCTCAATAGCACAGACTTAGGTATTCATGAATTCGCCATCTGTTTTCGATCTTTACGCGAACAAATAGTTTTTTCGTTGAGACTTCTGACCTTGTTAAATCATCCGTTACTATTCCTGTTTACGTTACAGAACGTTTTTCGTTTCAGAGCCGGACTTTGGAGGCTGGATGAATCTGGGAATTTGAAGAAACAAACATGGCTCAAAATGGGTAAGCTTATATTAACATTCAAAACACTATTGTTACGTACGTACTAATAAGCTACAAGTTTATTATCCATCATTGTACTGCAAGTTCGAGTAAAATTCGACTTAATGGGGTCAAACCATAAAAATAAAGAAGATTCTTTTAAGAGGTAAAATGCTGCTATATTTGATTTCGGATTCTGGTGTAATTCGATGAATTAACATTTCGATCATTTTTTATGGACAAGGCAAGTATTTGACCGCAATCGCACCTGATTCTGAGTAAATCTTACGCCCGTATTCACAAACGATGAAGCAGCAAATCGAATGCACAGCGTTGAATATAGCTCTGTGATTGGTTCGTGTGTCACCTTGTGCGTCCACGCGCACTGTGAGACCTCATAGTAATGTTTGTGAATACGGGCGTTAGATGTTTTTACATGTAGGTACGATGTCTCTCTGCCTGCGCTCTAGGTACATTCACTAATTAATTATTCACTCAAAGCTCTATAACTCAATCTCCACAAAACATATTAGCCCTTACGCTCATAACTCAACTCCGGAGACACGATTGGTGCTAATTTCAAATTTCCCGGACACATTACACCAAAGTGGAATAGGTCACAGTCCAAGCTGCAAGTATCGTCAGAAATAACCTTTGGCGTCTGTCCAGGTACGGCCCAGTGGCGGGACATGGCGGGAGAATAAGAATAAGAATAAGAATAAGAATAAGAATAAGAAAAACTTTATTTGACACAAAAAGGGAAAAATAAAAAAACAGAACAAAGGGACTTAAAACTATACACGCATATTTTGTGCCAAAAAGGCGCCCGCTCAGCATTAATCGAGCCACGCGTGCATGCACGCGTGCCCCGACGCTGGTTTTCAGCGGGTGCCTCTCCAACCAACATTATAAATTTAAAAAAAAATAACATTATACAAAACAAAACAAAACATTGACAAACATTGACAACATTGACAAAGAGGGCGCCACTAACTCACCGCACAACATTAATAAGAAAATTAATAATATAGAATGACGTTTACCGCTACAAAATTATTTTGATCCACATTCAGACTAGCTATAAATTTACCAAATTATCAGTTTTATCGGAATTAATTAATTATCAAATCGAGTCACACGACATCGCTCGATTGCTTTGCGATTGCAGTACATTGCAGTACGATGATACGATTATTTTTACGTTGCGGCAATCACTAAAATTCGCTAAAATGACACTAATGACGTTTAAAAAGCGGCACGCTCGTCCCCATAGAAAAATTATACAAATTTTCCTTTCCTTCACTTTTTCTTTCCACATGCTGCATCTATCAATATCTGTGACATTAAGCAATTAAAAAAAAAGAACAAAAGAAAATAGTTGACGATTGACATCACAATTGACATTGAATGAAGAATGAAGTCTCCGATTAATTTAAAGTTATCTGTGAATGAAGGCCACGTCATGCATGCATTGAAGACCGCGTGCTGCCACGCAATAAAAACGTGATCTCATCTTTGGCTTTGGAGTTGGATTTCACCATTATGATTCCTGATTTTGAGTGAAGAAAGTGATTTATAGCCACACACTACAAAGGTCAAGCCAGAGAACAATAAAGTAAAGCAGGCCCAAGACGACGCTAGACGGAGTGCTTGGCGTTTTGATTCCCACCCATTGCCTTGGTTTTTCGGCATGANGAATAAGAAATTGTATTTGAATTGAAAAGGTGCTTATACTAATATTGAACTTTGTACTTCTAAAGCAAATTGACGTCGGAGGACTTGAAAAACTTTTAGCAACTCCAGAAATCACGAGCTAACATTTAGCTGAGACACGATTAGAATATTGTTGGAATTGAATTTGACAATAAGTAGCGTTACAGGTTTTTATCTCTACAAACAAAGTGTCTCGTATCTAATACGTAGGAATAACCGTAAACAAATAAATAAACGATAATGTACTTTTTTTTTTACCCAAGGCAAACTTCGGCACTTTTTCGGCACACGATTTTGGTTAAAGTCCCAACCAATCGACACGTTTATGTCCCTCATCAACTCATTAGTCCAGCAACTTAAGGGAATCAACAAAACATAGCATGTATGCTTCGTTGAATCTCATTATATGAGCATTCTATTTTATATCTTAACCACATAAAAATAGTTCAAAGGCATCGCTTCAGCATCCATCAGGTTTTCAGTTCACCAAATTCACCAAGAAAAACACGTACGATTTCATATTGTCATTCGAGAAGTGTCTGCAAAAAAGTTAGTCCGTCAGTTTGAAATACCAAAAATAAATTAAAAATCCATGTTAGAATCTCTAAAATGATGGACTGATTTTGATGGATGATCCTAATCACGACTAATATCAAAATATTTTATTATTATTAAATAGATATTTTATGTCGGTATGTTGCCCCTAAGGTTAATGTTTCACAAGTTTGACTGTAGTACTTCTTACCTAGATATCGTTTTTTTCATAAATGTCGCATATGAAAAATTTGAAAGTCCTTCACGAATACCTGCTTATTTCTTTTTTTTATTTTTAGGCTCTACCTACCTATTTTAAGAACTTCCCCTTACCATCTAAATCAAAATGTAAAAGACACCAAATCTGATTTTCTTTTCGTTATAAAAACATCAGGAAAATGATATTTCTTGTCTTTTGTTTTTTTTGGGCAGCGGTGACCCAAATTCTTACTTGCCTAAGGGCTTCCCTGTGCCCGTTTTTTCGTTCTTTTGTAACTTACAAAAATTGTATTGACTAAAAAATGTTTGTTCACTTTGAACCTAGTAGCTACTTACCTGCGGAAATGCATATGTCACAAGTAACTATAAAATGTTGCAAAAAAATTGGGAATGTTATCCGTAGTAAACTTCAGCAGCTATAAATTGCGGTTTATATAATTTATCAGTGTCAACCTTAGGTCAAATAAAATATTTCAAGTGGTTAAGTATTGTAATATTATTATAATAATAATTTTAATTCTAATACACTTACATGATCAATGAAATTCCTTTTTCTTGAGCCATTTAATGAGATCTCATGTGAACTTTCAAGCGAAGTTGTAGCGATGTTTCACTGTTTTATTTTCCCACACTCGTGCATGAGTGTTCCACAAACACAAAAATGCTTATAATTATTAGCAACCACAATTCACATGAATATTCGACTAATTACTTCTCTTCCAAAATAAAAACTGCTAAAAACTTCACTTCCCGCCAAGAATCGTTGTTTCTAAACCATGTTCTAAACTTTCTAATTCGGTACATAGCGCCATCTTGCGGTGAGACAAACAATGTAAAAAGCAAGTTGAGTGTACTGCCATCTGTTATATCATTTATGAAAACCATTTCACCTTAGTAGAGTTGAATGTAATTTAATTAAGTAACAACAACAGATGTCTCTACGACTGCTTGTGTTGCATTTTAAAGTACGTTTGATTAAAATAGATGTCGCTAGCGTTAATTAATTTCGTCCAATGCGATCCGGCTTGTTTCTCTTGGTTATAAAATACTTTAACTTTTGTTCCATCTACAAATTATATTATATCATAAGTCTTTATTATTCGTATTTTTTTATTTTGATATTCTTTTTTATCTCTTGTGAGCCATGATGAAATAGTTTCTATATTATTAGGATTTACTTATCAAATTACTAGGTGGACCGACGATCTGGTAAAGGTCGCGGGAAGAGCCTGGATGCGGGCAGCGCAGGACCGTTCATTGTGGAAAACCTTGGGGGAGGCCTTTGTCCAGCAGTGGACGTCATTTGGCTGAAACGACGAACGACGACGACGACGACTTATCAAATACAGAATAAATATCTAAATATGTATGCAATGAAACCACAATGATTATTTAGTATTAACTATTTATATATTTCAATAGTATCTCTTAAAATTATAAACTATTTCCTCTAACGCTCCGCGCTCGCAATATTTGGTTTAAGTCTAAGTGAAGACGAATCAACAGTTAGTGTTAATTACAATTAACTTATTCATAATCAACAGTCAAACAAAAATCCAATGGATTACATTTAATAGAAAAACTAAATGTAAACTTAGATGTAATGCTAGCATGATCTGTCAACTATCAAGCGATGAAAACGGTACAGTATTATTATAGTTAAATAAACGTAGTGTGATATTGCGACCAAACATTTGAAAGAACTACACCAAACACTACTAATTATTAAGTGCACATAAAGAAATCAAATCAAATTTTAATGCTTGGTCGGACTACAACACTACGATTAGACTTCTACTGTCCAAACACCGCGAAAGAATGAAATACTGTCTCATCTATACGGTAATAATTAAAAAAACTATGCTATTTAGTGGGGAATGTTAACTTTGGTATAAAATATTAATTATAAACAACATAACATATTTCAAACACAAAGACACTCGACGAACGAGACTTAAATCAAGTATAAATTAAGAAAAATACTGTTTAATTAATAGCCTAGGTCCAGTTCAAATATATTTACAATCAACTGGTAAACTTAAATTTGTATACTCGAAGGAAACATTGAAATGTCACTTATGTATTTATGTTTGACTTCGTGAAACTGAAAAATTGCACTGTGCGGCGAAAATAATAAAAATAAATATCGAACTCGTACTGGGAGATTTCTATACAATATAAATTGAACTATGTAACATAGTATATGATTATTTCTTTAGATATATGAATCTCTAATGCACCATATAAGTATACAGAGTGTAATCAAAGAGTTGGCAAAAGTTCAAACAGTATCATGAATGAAAAGAATTATGTTCTAAATTCTAAAGTAACTGTCATAGTTTTACCGATCTGATGATTACAACCTGTATAGGCTTCCTAATACAATTTCCAAGGCCTAGTTAGTAGGTACCGTTTTTATTAACTCTAAATTCAGTTTTTTAATTTACATTTTCATCAACAACGTTGAGATTTTGAGATAATTATTATCCTAAATTACTGAATTTTTACGTAACTCAGTTCAATTTTTTTTAGTTGTTACACATGATGCTAATTTTTTTGCAAACGATGAATATAAAGTTGTAAATAACAACGAATACAAATGGATTTACATTTAATAATCTAAATATTTCACTAAATCCTACAGTTGAGATGATACTAATACATTTTGCGCGGATTTCTTCCTTGTAAAAACGAAAAGGTTATTTCTCATACATTTATCTATGCCAGTATACATTATTATGAATAAATATCTATTTCCACTATAAATATATATTTATAAAGAATTATGTCTACATTATCACAACATTTACAAAGCGATTAGCTCAGTAGACATACAAATCAGTTTTGGTATAACGACATATAAAAGATTCGAATCATATTCTCTATAATTAGCTACTGAAATTCGTATAATATATCTAATAGATTGTTAGCATCTTATGTATGTCAGTCAAAGATGACAAGAAAGCATGTTACTGGGTCATTAAACAAACATACAATGTGTTATGTAAATTGTAAAGTCACGATGTAAAAAAAATAGGTTACGTCCGTACTTTCATGCAAAATAATAAACGGAATAAATATCTCTTATACGGTGACAAAAATAAAAAATATGCACATGCTCCTTTAAGTTATTGCACTATAAAATGTCATACTGTCTTTGTATGAACACAATCAACGCTGTAGGGAATATAATATCACTGATAGAAAATGAAGGTGAAAGTTAGAGTATAGATTTAGTGTATGAAATTCAACATCGATCCGCTAAGTCTACATAAATGTGAATCCAAAAATCTTGTTTTTTTACTGAAAATTACAATTCCTTACTAACTCCTCGATCATCTTTTTACACAACTTCAGATCTTACTCAAACTCATTAAATATCATATGATTACAGATATTGGCATGAGCTCTATTGCGTCGCAACACAGATTATAATCGAACCTATTCTGTTCTTAAATCAGTATTTCGAAAGCAATCGCTTCTCTCCCAACAAAAGCTGTTTCAGCCAATCGGTTTTCGCTAGCCGTTACGGCCGTCAGCCGTATCTACGTTAAGTAAATTGGGGCTCTATTGCGTCGCAATAAGCTCTGGTTCCGCACACACCGGACTGGTTTTGTTCTAAGCGGTGGAGTCGTGCGTGGAAGGGTTGGGGATGGTGGTCCCCGTGGCTTGCTGGTCGCGAAGTCTCCTCACTTCTCTCGCGGCGGCCGCTAGTTCTGCCTGTAGCGCAATCTCGCGCTCTTTTAGGCATTTTATCTCATGCTGCCAGGTCTGAAAATACAATTTTTAGAATTAGGAATGTGCATGAAGGATAGAAAAAAAGTTGGGTTATTTTCAGCATAAGTAAGTAACATCCTCTATAAAATTACAATAGTGTAACCTTAATCTAAGATAGATACTTAAAGAAAGTACTGAAATTGTTTTGTATCAACAGATTTTTAAGATTTTCCTGCCTCAGGTAATTCAATGTCTTCCAGTTATTTATAATTTTAAGATTTCTAGGTCACCTCTCAAGGTGTCTAAACCATTCTAGTATACTATTTTATTCACCCTATATGTTTGTTGTGGTGGACAGCGCTTTTAGCATTGGATACCGCGAATTATTACCAAGGTAAAATGAGGCTGCAAATTTTATTTTTTACCATTTCTTCTAGCAACAGCTAAAATATAGTCCCGAAAATTGGGTATAATTGATTTTTTATAAGTGTAAATAGGTACCCTGACATTAAGCCTAGGCGCAGACTGCCGACTTTTAGTTGGCCGATAGTTGGGCCCGATTCTAATTTGTATGAAGAATCGGCCGATACCAAATCGGTTTAAGGTGCGCACTTTCATCCAATACATGTCCATACTAATTAACAGCACGCCCCAACCATCGGCCAACTAAAAGTTGGTAGTCTGAGCCTAGGTCAAGGTAGCCTTTCGAACTAAGCGTCACAGACGCAGCGTCTTTAGCTTTGGTCTTAAAGGTAGCCTTTGGAAGCGAGTTAGTAAAGGTTCGGCCAAACCAACGCGATCACACGCGATCAGCCGGCGTGCAGCGATGGCGATCAATGCATTTAGGTCTGGTCGCCATCGCTGCACGCCGGCTGATCGCGGTGTGATCGCGTTGGTTTGGCCGAACCCTAAGGCGACGTTGGCAGCACAAGACCAAAGCTAAAGACGCTGCTTCTGTGACGCTTAGTTCGAAAGGCTACCTTTAAAAGACCTGACAGACAGACTAATAATGAATGAATACTCACAATATTCTGCTTCAACAAGTCCAACTTGTCGTTCTTCAGCCTGCACACCTCCTGCCTCAACTGGTCCGCGTCGGCCCGCGGCGCCGCCATCGGCTCCCCGCGCGTGTTTGCACCAGCCTCAGCTGATGACATCGATTCTAGCCCCGTGTCGCTGTCCACGTAGACGGCACCTATGGATGAAGATAATATTAGTATTTTAGCACTGTTTAAGTAAAGCTTAATGGATTTTATGAAGACTTTTTAACTTTTATTTTAGTAAAACCTAACGGATTTTGACTTTTTAAAGTTTTGTAACGACAAAAGATCTCACAAAACATTATACTTTGTTTGTTTTAACTTGACCTTGAACCGAAAAACTGGTTAATGATCCTGAAAGTGCTTCACGAGCTCTATCCAACGGTATCATTAATAGGTAACAAAATTAACCGTTTGAAAGGGCTCGTGAAGTATCAGTAATCAGTTTTGCGATATCTTGTATAGTTTAGAAATAATCGAGTGAGATCACTTATCGTTTCCACCCTGTATAACTATAGGTCACACACACTTAATAGGTAGGTCACATATTTGATGCAGGTCTATGTCCCGGTGTCAGTAGATCTCTGACTCTTCAAAGGTTAATGCTAGTTTAAAAACTTAACTTATTGAATTATTTGGAATATTTCAAGAATCATAAATATACCTAAACATCTCTCGAAACATCATACTTTTTATTTAAATATCTATAAATACATATTTTGAAACGAAAACTATAGACTGTGAAACAATTAAGAAGAATTAAAATTAGAAAGAATATAAATAGCTACAATACTTAGAAGACAATTCAACAAAATATCATGCAATGTGCGACGTAATTAAAGAATACGTAACTACATGTGTTTTACTTATAATCATATGCTACCGTTTCCTACGAAGAATAAATACAATGCTATACATTCTAAAGCCCGGTCTGTAAACACGTAGAATTTTGTCCAATGACCCCAAGCTACCCATCCTTATCGCTCGCGCGTAATTATGTTGCTGTCGCGCTCGCACACTCACTGCAAGCGCCCGTCGCACAGTCGCGACAGCAATATAATTACGCGCGAGCGATAAGGATGGGTAGCTTGGGGTCATTGGACAAAATTCTACGAGCTCGCAGACCAGACTATAGATGTTTCTACACACCGATACTACAGGACTAACCTGTTGCACTTTTACCACAACTCAGCCAGTCCTTGTCATCTAATTGAAAAGAAAAAATCCAATTCAATTACAAACACTATTTTTCTATAAATTTTACAAATTGTGATCAAGAATTTGATGCCTTTTGATCATGATGTGGTATTTCTAATCTTTGTTAATAGTGGTAGGTAACTTTTACATAATTACGTTGATAATTAAGGGTAAATACAATACAAACCAGATTTTGAAGCTATTGTACACACAATAGGTGATATTTTATGACAAAAATGCTGCCAACTGTACATACTCGTACCTACAAAATAATATCGATGTTTGCTACAGATGAAGTAGTTACTCAACCAATCTATCCATGTCTGACATAATGCTGTCGCTCGATGATTTATCATCATCATGGTCCAAATACAGTTAAGTACATTTTGGTACAATCTTGGTACAATCTTGGTACAATCTTGGTACAGTCTTGGTATGTCCATTAATGGACTTTGGCGCATCGACATCAAGCCTTTTGGCCTAATAGCATCCATAGACTTAGACCAAGACGGCTCGTATCTTTGTCACAATTGAGGATTTTTTGCTACAGTAACACGCACTTGGCTTTACACCAAGATTGTTGGTCCAAATATTTGCCAAGTGTACCAACCTAATGGGTCCAAGTCTACGGAGTTCAAGCTGGAGTCAACAGCGGGGGCCGCGGGGGCACCGCGCGTGACGTCACGTCGGGGCTTGACTCGCCCAAGCCGCCACCAAACGGTCTTGCGCCATGACTACTGGTACAAATATTTGAGTGGGCTGGTCCAAACATTTGCCAAGTGTACCAACCTAATGGGTCCAAGTCTACGGAGTTCAAGCTGGAGTCGTCGCTATGGTCGTGCAGCGGGGGCCGCGGGGGCACCGCGCGTGACGTCACGTCGGGGCTCGACTCGCCCGAGCCACCACCAGCTCATATGAGGGTACTAGATCATAGATGACTCGTATCGCTGTCAGTCGAGGATTTTTCGAAATAGTATCACGCACTTGGCTTTACACCAAGACTGTTGGTCCAAATATTTGCCAAGTATACCAACCTAATGGGTCCAAGTCTACGGAGTTCAAGCTGGAGTCGTCGCTGTGGTCGTGCAGCGGGGGCCGCGGGGGCACCGCGCGTGACGTCACGTCGGGGATCGCTCAACTCGCCGAGCCACTCCCAATTGCTCTTGCACCAAGACTTAGTTGTCTTACTACGTACTAGTCGTTGTACTAACGTACAAATATTTGACAAAAGTGGGCTGATCCAAACATTTGCCAAGTGTACCAACCTAATGGGTCCAAGTCTACGGAGTTCAAGCTGGAGTCGTCGCTATGGTCGTGCAGCGGGGGCCGCGGGGGCACCGCGCGTGACGTCACGTCGGGGCTCGACTCGCCCGAGCCGCCACCAAACGGTCTTGCGCCATGACTACTGGGCCAAATATTTGTCTAAATGGGCTGCTGGTCCAAATATTAACCAAGTGTACCAACCTAATGGGTCCAAGTCTACAGAGTTCAAGCTGGAGTCGTCGCTATGGTCGTGCAGCGGGGGCCGCGGGGGCACCGCGCGTGACGTCACGTCGGGGCTCGCTCGACTCGCCCGAGCCACTCCCAATGAGGGCTATCGTTTTAGCGCTCACCAGTTAGCGCCACTGTAGAGTAAGGTCTTGTCACTTGCTAGTAGCGAAGACAGTGGCGCCAACTTGTGAGCGCTAAAGTGGTAGGAGGACTATCGCATTTGCACTCATCAAGATGGCGCCACTGTAGAGTAAGGTCCTGTCAATCGCCAGGGGTGCCAACTGTTAAGTATAAAAACGATAGCCCTCATTGCTCTTGCACCGAGACTTAGTAGTCTTACTACGTACTAGTCGTTGTACTAACGTACAAATATTTGACAAAAGTAGGCTGGTCCAAACATTTGCCAAGTGTACCAACCTAATGGGTCCAAGTCTACTGAGTTCAAGCTGGAATCATCGCTATGGTCATGCAGCGGGGGCCGCGGGGGCACCGCGCGTGACGTCACGTCGGGGCTCGACTCGCCCGAGCCGCCGGCGGAGCGCACCGACACCGCGCTCGCTGACGACGAAGGTATCGACGATTTGGAACGCCCGCTCTGAAATAGACCGTATATCGTTAGCAATAGAACACAATAGGCTAGTTCCTAAAAAAGTTTTTTAGTCCGTAAATTTTAGTATAAAAAAATATTGGACACGTATATTTTTATATGGCAATCAAACAAATAATTACAAAGTTATAGTGCGTTGAAGTTCCGCGCGACGTAACAAAGTGCTTCACTTTTCCGCACTCACTGACGTCACGGGCCTTTTCTTTAGAACTTTGGCACGCTTTATCTCTTTACATTTTCATTAGTTTTAAAAGTGAAAAATACGTGTTGAGTAGATTTTGATAAGCTAACTGACGGACTAATTACAACGCTTGCTGTTTTACCCAGGAAACTTCCCTATTTAGTAATTGAAAGTTTATTTTTATGTGTGCATTTTGGCACGATTTTTTACTTGATTCATCTCAGTGATTGATAAGCTAAAACGGTTTTTGGTACGCCTACTAGTGTTGTGTGTTGTAAAATTATACTTACGTTAGGGGTATGAGTTTCATGCGAGGATATTTTGTTTTTGATTTGATGATTCTTATTGCTGTCGCCAGAGAGATTCGTGTCTACACTCGGTGATCTGGAAAAAAAATTGTTTCACTTTACAATAGAGAAACAAACATTATACGTGTGGTTCCGTCCAGTAGAGTAGGATAGGACACTATTCGTCCAGTGGATGTCGAAAAAGTCGACTACAAACATCAGGCCTCCGCAATCTGTCTGGCCAGCTTGGGGAGTATAAGCATTTAGCCTCTAGTATGTTAGAGAATACTTGCTCCTGAAGTAAATAGTCTAAACGAACTGATGATGATTTAGCAGGTATATCTACTCACCTCACTTTAGAGATGAGCGCCTTTTTAACCGTATCAATGAATCGCGCCCCTGGTCCATCCTGCCTGGGCGTGCCTTCTGGCTGCGGCGACACTGCCCCCGGCTCTATCCTCGCTCCAGTCCCAAGGAACTCCACCGTCTTAGTCTTCAGATCATCAGCCAAGTTCATGAGAAGAGACGCGCGAGTCCTCAATTCCAGTTGCGCGAACTTCTCAGCTTTATAGCAAGCGTTCTCAGCGTTTATAAGTTTGGTCAGAAGAAACTCTTTCAGTTCACGCCCCTTTTTGAAGATCGGCGGCTGCGGGAGAGTCGGCCCGAAGAATGGTACGTCCACACGAGCGGTGACGGCCACTTTGTACCTAGAAACAAAAGACGATCGTGAGAGCTAAGGAAGTTATGTTTTCGTTTTTCATTTCCAAGGAAAACAAATGAACATCACCGTTACAAGATTTTGTTCATTATTTAAGTAACAACATCTCTTTTAAAATTATTCTGTTCCACTTCATCAATCAGATGCTTTGGAATCTTTGGACGGAATATATTTTATAAAAAATATTGCTCAATTTGTTTCTCCAATTTTTGTCGTTAACAACTCAAATTACCTATAGAAAAACTCGCTCATTACTAACTACTCGTATTAACTCAGAGCTGTAATGAACTCTATCCATTAGCTGAAGAGTTCCCTAAGTAGCCCTAAACGAAAGTAAATAAACATTTAGTTAAGTAATCTTCCCACTCAAGGCACTTACCCCATCAAGTCTGAAAATACATTTTTTGCTCCACACTTTCGCATCTCGAACGAATTACGTTTCACTCTCATCGAATCTATTCCAAAATTAAGATGTACGAGTATCTTTTTCTACCTATTTGTTTTCTTGTAACCTTTTTATTCAGTCAGTTTAACCATTATAATTACAGAGACGCCATTCGTTTGCATATAAATTACTAGAACTCCCTTCCCACTTTCCGAGCCATTTTCTTTGCTTGTTCATTCAAATAATTCCTTGGTGCAAAGTAACACAAACTTTATGTTAAACAAGTAGACTGGAAGACGTAATAGGAGTCCGGAGTAAGAACTAAAAATAGGAAGGTGACGCGTTGAAATAAATGTGTCTGAAGTGAGCAAGACCTGGATGACGTCAGTGATGGTTCAAGTTACATTACCTCATGAGTGTTACGTCAGAAGTAGCCACACTAGTAAAGAGGTTTACAGTTTTATCATTAACACAAAGACTTAAGTATGATAAAGTCTGACTGATTCTTTTATTAAGAATCTTTCCGTCGGATCGCTTGCCTCCTGTCACATAAAAAAAAATCTCGCCTATTTTTTGAATTGGATATGAGCTAGATTAAACCTAGGACACATTTACAGGCTACTTTTCGTCGTGAGTAAAAGGTTTTTTGCAATATTTTGAATATAATAGGATTATTTACCTGGTCTCCCCTGCCGCTGACTCTACGGGCGTAACCACTATGAAGGCATGTAGAAAGTGCGAAGCTATCATGTCAGGCGTAAACGGAGTTGCTTTCTCCTGGAAATTACAAAAAAAAAACATTCTATTTAGTATAAACTTGACATTTCCAGTCATATCGGGAAGTCGGGAGTTCCTGGTATCAGTAAGGCCCCGACCAATTCTGTGGTATGGATTTCACAGAATGTTTAAGAATATGATATTATGTATTAATTTAATTAACATTATAAAATAAATAAATAAAATAAAAATAAAAAATGTATTTATTGCCTTCGAACCATTAGACAGGTACAGGTAGTTAGACTTACAACTATAATAATATGAAGTACACATTATGATTTTCAAACTTTTTCACTCCACTTAAGGATTCTCCATTCCCAAAACCCGTCACGGATCTCATCGCAATTAGCTAATATGCAAACAATTCAGTCGCATTATCTTAATAACTCTGTAATAACAGAGTTCGGTCTCAGAAAAAAAATCAACATCGCTAGAACATCGAGGAGATAGGTCGTCGAGAAAATCTTTGGTTACTTGGATCGGGATTCTTAGCGGGTGACGAAGTGGACTTGGGAAAGAAATTAACACCTAAATCAACATCATCATCATCATTTCAGCCATAGGACGTCCACTGCTGAATACGTCTCCCCCAATGATTTCCATAATAACCGGTTGGTAGTGGCCTGTACCCAGCGCCATCCTGCTACCTTTATGAGGTCGTCGATCCACCTTTATGAGGTGGACGTCCTGGAACCACATCGCCTGGAGAGCTACCCGAGATGACATCGAACACCCCACCGTGTACTCTTCCCGCGGGTGTCGTTAGAGGCGATTTAGGGACTACACATAAAACAGAGAACGGGCAGCAGCGCTCTCTGAAAAACATGCCTGCCCCGCCTGCCAAGCGTGGGGATTATAGCAAAACCCTCCACTAATAGTGGACGAGGCTCATAGCCCAGCAGTGGACTGTAAAGGGCTGTTGATGATGGATATATACCTGAAAGACAATAGCAACGATGTCGTTCCCAACGTGGCGTTTCCTCTGGAGCTGCTGTGCATCTCCAGCGGTGTGGGGCAGCAGCGGCGCCACGTGGAACATGATCTCCCGGTTGTAGTACTGCTCGTACACCGCCTCGGTGCCGGTGTGCCCGTTCATGATGTCCAGGCCCCCTCGGTAGCCTGATGAATAGAAACACAAAGGTTGGAAAATCAAGTACAAGTATAACTGGCTATTCTTGGTAGGTTGGGGAATAGAGCCACGGTAGTTGGTTAGTTATCAAGTGGCAGTAATAAGGGGCAAGATTATTTGGCAATAATGGATAAACTCAGATCGCCTTTACTGCAACATCAGAGACATTCATATAACTCCTCTTACGTTCAGTGGATAATGTTATGTACTTGTACGTGTGTCAAAATTGAAGCCAGATGTCTGACATTGGCTATACATAGAAGGTTTACACTATATCATGAACTTAATACTATCTCAATCTAAGACTGATGAATTAGGATGAGTATACATTTGTAGCTACCCATGTGTCTTTCGTTTTAGTACCAACGCATGTTACAAAGATCAATGCAGAAATAACGTTACAGTTGCAAGAACATACCTTTGTGATCCTTCAGCTTAATCCTCTGCCCCAGCATTTCAAGAAACTCGTCGAACGCGGGCGACGTTTCGTTGTTCCCAAACAGCTCCTCCTCGGTCGTCTGTCCATGCTTCTGGTACAGTACTCCGAACTTGAAGCTGTTCACGAGGACATGCTCGTCATATGCCGCGATCAGCTGCGACGCGTTCAGGCACATCACCGCCATGAAGTTGTCCACGTTCACTTGCTCGTTCAGCATCTTCGCCATTTTTAGTGGCGACGGCATTATGCTTGATCCTGGGGAATAAGGGTGATGTTTCAATATCGGTAACTAAAGTTCTTTGAACTTTTGGAAGTTTTGGAACCTACATTGAGGACCACTTTTGTGTCTACGAATATCAGTCAACGTATGCAACAATGCAGCATCTACAAAAACTATTACACTCTCTCAAAAAAAAAATTGATGAAGTCAAAATCTACATTCATCTTTAATATTATCTCTGGTAATAAACTACCAGACTTTAAAAAACCTAGTTAGATTATTCGATCCACAATACGATTTGTGTAAGTACTTTTGTTCAAGATTTGAACGTTTAATTCTACATAGATGCATAATAAAGACCTAAACATTCTCATAAACATTAAGGTGTTTTAGATTTTTTGTTCCCTTGTAGAACATGGCTAAGCTACTTGCAGTAATACTCACTAGTGGTGGGTATAAGTCCGTGCATGGTCTCCGTGCGAAGCCTGAGCAGTATCCTGGTGTGGTCCTGGCCAGCTACATGTTCATTCTTCAGGGACATCACCACAGGGCCCAGGCTCTCATCAAACCCCACCAAGTTTATGTGTTCCTGCAACAAGGAAAACTTTTATTTAGCATGAGTCGTGAATTTAATGTAATTTTACTTTCATTTAAGGTTTAAAATTAGGCTATGATTCACTAAAACACTGAGATTGAATTTAAACAGGAAATACGGACATGTAACCAGGGGGAAAACGCTATTAAAATATATTTGAAAACACGCCAATGAGGTATATTTCAGGAATGTAAAGTCCAAATACGTCTGCAGTAACCTACTAAAACATAGATAATGACTCGGGCAGTGTTACTACAAATAGCTAGATGTATGTTGATGTAATTTTCTTTTTACCTAATGTATGCGTTAAGAGTAGGTATTGCTCGTAGTATAATATAGTGATTTCCACGTAGGACTTTTTTTTAAATCACTATTTATGTATTTTTTCCTAGACGTACATTGTATGCAGCTTATTTTAGAGTATTCTAGAGCAAGCAGTATCAACTAAGTACCTCAACAATCAACTGATACATTTACACTGTGTCAATATTGACGCAGGACAATCGTAAAATATCCATCAGTCGCACCCAATACCTATAAAACCGTATGATAGAGCGTGTATTTATAGCATTTGCTGATATATTTAGAGGTAACGATTTCACTTTGATGGATATTTTATATGCCTCTGTTTCAATAACATTTGTCAATAACTTTAACAGTTTATTATCAGAGTATTCATTTCAATTAAAGGATATCATTAATTTAACAATTAATACGCATAATAACGATAATATTCATCAACTGAAATCAAAACTGTGTTTTGTGATAAAATTGTATTTCAAATTTGATCAAAATAACGTTTCGTGCGTGCTTTTTATTAACCAGATTTAATAATGATGCAAATTTAATTGATAGTGCCACAGAATTCTTCCTTACCTAAATCTGTATCTGTAATCTGTGTACTTCAAGTACTTTAACCTTAAAATGGATAGTGTCGTCGTAACTGAGATATTCATACTCAATCCTCGCAATTTCAGCAAGTTCAAATGACGTAACTCAAATTAAATCATGAATCAGAGCAATTGATGGTGATCTCATAGACACAGCACTCAAGTGTTATGGTTTAACGCTTCATTTTGTTAATTTACGAATATTATTAACAAAAACAAGTTGTGTATTTTTAGATACATTTCTTTAAGACTGAAAATAGTGCATATTGCTAAGTTCTGAATTTTCGTAAATAGCAATTTATTTGTATTGCAAAACATAGTTGCTATAAGTACTTGTCTCAATAGATAATGCAGCTGCGTGTAATTTTAAACCTTGTTCCATTGCAATTAAGTTTTTTTTTCATTACCTACTATGTCGAGGGTCAGGCGATCTTTTGTATCGAAACAAAGAGCTTTTAATTGCCATGAAGATGTTAATTAGTTACATACATTGTTACGTCAACCGGATCCCTTTTTATTCCCAAGACCTTTTCGAAGGATACATAAACATTGTATAGGTTGTTAAAACAATTGTTTGAAATTAATTCGTTTTTAATCAACATGAACAATGAAGAAGTATGATATAGATTACTTTGCGAAACTTCAATCTTGAGCGAAGATTACTGTACAATACAATGATATATGGCTTATTTAAAATTAGACATGGTATTGTGCAAATTACGTCCCATTATTACTTCGTAATAGACATTGAATGTATTAAGGATCTATATGAGAGTTAAAGCTTCACACTCTCCTACTTTTTTATATTATATAAACCGGCAGACAGTGGTGACTGAGTTTGTTGCGGAGCTTCTTCTCAGCACTTGCCAAAAATGTTTGTCTCGAAGCGCTGGTAGGGCAAAAAAAGAATGAGACATGTATAGGCTCCTTAAGAGCATTTGACGATTTGTAAGTACCTACTAATTTAATTAATCTAAACAAATAAAGATTATTTTGATTTCACCTCTTTCTAATTTACGACTCATACAACCACTATTTTCTCGCTAACTACGAGTAATAGACACTGTTCTACACAAAGGACTATTACTTTAGCAGTAGATACATCTAAGCACTTTGTCTCGGTAGACGAGCAAATTCATTATTGTTTTGTTCTACGTGCCCTAGTGCTAAGTGTTGGGAACTTCCTATCGTACACGAACCTTCCTAGCTGAGTTTTTGAACCTTACTGTTACTATAATAGAATTCATTTTCAGTCTTAATCTGAATATCAGGTCGATGCCAGGAAGTCATTATGCTTTACCAATTAAATTCAAATAGATTTGTCTAGTGTGAAGTGTTCATTACGTAGCAACATAGAGACATAATTGAATAATAAAATACATGTGTATTGAAGTGTATCCGTTTTTTATTAAAAAGTTATACGATTTTATTCCGCTTTCGCGCTGTCAATTTAGAAAGATATTGGAAAAAGTAAGTGCAGGAAATGATAATGATTTAGCTGAGGGCTTAGTGTGAGTTTACATCAAACGTCGTCACTAGCGAGCGCTTTACAAAATATTATGAAGATTTTAGTTTTTGAAAGTTTCCAATGGCTATTATTGCTATAATTGAGAGTTTTCCAAAGCTTGCAGCGCTGTAAAATCCGTCATACATTTAATGTCGCTTTTTTACGCAGTCGACATCGAATGCGTTTGACGTAAACTCACACTACGCCCCAGGTTGCATTCAAAAGATCGTTGACCTTTGAAAATCACAAACTTCATCGCCCTTCTGTCATATCCCTGATAATCAACGACTGATAGCCGGTCTTTTTTCATTTTCGCCACAAAGCGGCAAATTGAAAGCTAAGGACGGTAATTGGAGGACGGGTCAATGCCTCATCGAGCCCTGATGGATGGTGTCATCTAAGACGGAATCCGCCGATTTTTCGGGACGTCCTCAAATGATTTTTCTCTTTTCTATTCAGGAGTGGTTCCATTTTTTCCGGATCTCATGAAGCTGATAATTTCGCACGACATAATTATGTTAACCAAAAGATAAATCATAAAAGTATAATAAAGTATTATTATAAACATGTGAATCACATTATTTATTTGGATGTAGAATTCTTCAAACGTGCTACATTTTAGGAAAAAAACATAAGGGTGACCAACAAGACCATAATGTATTTTAGGCAAAGTATCATAATTTAGATTATGATATTTTTTTTCTTTTTTTTTTATATTTTCCGACGATTTTCATTCAAATTAATAACTTTTTGTAGTTTTTATGTTCTAACTAAAATAAAATTACTATGAATTTTATCACTATATCGTAACAGTAACGATATTTAAATGACCCCGATACTAACATGGATAACTTTTACGACTGACCTTTCGTATAGGATTAGCAGCGAACTTCCCTAATGGTTCCGTAATTTGGGCCGTTAGGGATTCCAAGTTCCAACTAATGTGTAAGGCATAATCATTAAACAACTTAGCCGGATTAGTATCTCTGATGTTGCAACGGTCAACTTTCCAGAAAATTGCTAATTACGTCCGTTTATTTTGAACCTTTTTTTGACGTCCTAAAGTTAAAAAAACCATTTATTAACTTTTTATTTGGTGCTAACTGTATTCATTGTTCAAACTTTGTGTAATTATATGTAGTTACATTTTTATTAATATTCAATTTTCATTAGATTTTATTTTTTTATGATTATCATTATTATGTTATTTTGCGACTTGTCCTATCTCGCATTATTATTGCGGATTCAATTAAAAGTTTTTCTATTTGCACGCCATAAGTTAGTTTTCGAAAACAAAAATGATGCTACATTTTACATAGATGATATACAATATTGTATAAACTACTCTTTTTATTATTTTTCTTTCTTTCCCTGGCACTCCACAAGGTTGGCAATCACTTCGTCCGATTCTCCTCGGCGAATTGTCCTCAGTCCAATTTTTCGTTATGAAAAAAGGCATTTGCTTATTGCTCCCACTTTCCTTTTGTCGGGAGGGCATCTGTCTTCGTCATCGGCCCAATGGATTGGAAAATAAATTGTTATTTGATGATCTTTACCAAATCTGATTGATGCGACGCGTTTACCGTAATAAGTCGTCGGTAAATTAGTTTTGTGATAAGGACATTGAGAGATGCATTGGTGATTCATAACTCATAATCATGATGCATATTGATTCAATATCATGTCCATTTACTTTTATAAATGGTTTGACAACGTACAAGTATGACTCTAGGGTCAAAAAAGATGTCTATGATTGGTCTAGATAACCCGTCTAGGGGTTATATGATTTCAAATTCAACCAATCACGTCATGTCTATAACCAAAAAAGTCAAATTATAAAAAATCCTAAATATTTATAGTAAAATAAACACCCCGGCCAGTAGAAACGTAATGGAGTAGGTATGTTTTATGCCCTCAAAATAAATTATACTTTATTTTCTGCCACAGCTTTTTTAGTTCTATCCTCCATTGCCGATGACCTATTTTCCAAACTAATCAGGATTCAAACAGCATTCATTAGTAAACAATCCCGCTGGAGCTGTAATCAATTTAATTGAACGCTGCGCACGCGGTGACTTTAACTAATGGAAACTTCCTCGTACTTAACACTGGCATGTGTGATTTCGGTAACGTATTTACGCGTCAACCCTAGCAGTGGTTGTCAACATTTTGTAAGCCGAACTGTGATAAGTTATTCCTCTAGAGATGAGAAAGGTTGTGTCGCTATGATACCTACTCACTAGCGATTACGTTACTGCGGTTGCGGTCTGCGGTGGGTATTTAAATTAAACTTGTAACATGCATACAGAAACTGGCTTTAGGCAAAGAATAGATAAACAGGAAACAAGTTAAATATGTAATGAAAAAGGTTTAGACTTAAGTTTTTTTATCGTAATATTATGAGTCTCTTTTAAGCGACTATTCATTTTAGACTCTTTTAAGGGACAAATCTCTGTTTATTGATTTTTAGACGAATACTGAAAACCATTTTTAGTTTATCTCACATCTTTGATCCTATGTGAATAATCTGTACAAGTTGGGAACCCCTGGCATCGTATCAGCTTACCGATCTGAGCTTTCGCATTCGTCTGGCCTAA